TCTGGGTTGTTGTTCTGTTGTGTTTTATGTTTGTGATATTGTTCATCAATATGGATGATTTAGTAGTGTAGAAATGGGCAAGAAATGGGCATAATGTTATATATCCTCTTCAAAAGCTTTTGATGGCATGGGCATATTGTAGAAATGGGTTGGAATTGGTAGTGTGGGCAGGATATGGGAAGGAATTGCTAGTGTAGAAATCTGGGCAGAAACCTGGGCATAAGGTTATTTTGTCCCTCTTTGGCAGTGTATAAAACCGTTTGCTATAAAGGTCATTTTGTGCTGAATTGGCAGTGTATAAAACCTTTTTCTATATAAGCTGATTTTGTGCTGAATTGGCAGTGTATAATACCAAATGAACATGGGCAATCCAACATTTACCAAATAACATTCACCAAAATACAAGCCAACATTTACCAAATAACATTCTCCAAAATGCAATCCAAAATACACATGAACATTACATAATCCAACATTAAAAGACCCTTCAAAAGAACATTACCAAATAGCATACTTTACAGTCTATAATTATCCACCCAAAATACACATCCACATAGTACTTAAAAACCCAAAATAGGTCTTAAAAGTCCAAAAAATAGGTCTTCACAGTCTATACCTGTCCTCCTAGCTCTTTTGACATTGTGTTTGAGTCTTCCTCTACGGGTTGTGGTTTCTTGAGTAAGTGAAGAGGATGGTGGTTGCAAGGGCACTTGTTGTGAGGATGTCATTGGCAGAGTGGCCTTTCCTTGACTGATACCACTTACCACCTAAGATTAAAAACACAAAGAACATATATTACTAAATAGGCAAACATAAAAAACATGAGTTGGGCAAGAATAATAAGCAACTAACTGGTTGTGAAGATGACACCCTTGCAACTTAATTCCATACGCCTCTTCCTCTTCCTCTGCCTCTGTCTGTTCCTTTGCCCCTATTAACTTGAATTTGGGATGGGGCAGCATTAGTTTGGGCTGGGGCAGTATTAGTTTGGGCTGTGGCAGTATTATTTTGTGCTGGGGCAATATCATTTTGGCCTGCATTTCCATTGTCAGCTGCCTCAGCCTGCACAACATACAAGCACAACTATAAAATAGAAGAACCATAGCATAACTAAACCCAAATAATTAAAAAACCATTGCATAACTAAACCCAAAAAATTAAAGAACATGTCTTCCACATTCTCTTCGATTGTGGCCTTCTTTTCCACATGCTCCACATCTAATCTTAATGAAGAGTCTTCTAGGTTTTGCTGCTGGAGCAGTGTAACCTAGAGGCAAAGGGTTTGGTGGGTTTGGGGCTGGTACTTGAACCTCACTAGGCTCCTTTGTCTTCACTCTCTTGGGTCTTCTTGGTTGTCGCCTATGAAATGGAGGTCTAATTGGAGGCAAGCCACCCTTAACCCACTGATCCATAGAAGGGATGGGGTGAATTATTGATTGATATGACCTTATGTATGTCCCTGGCTTATAACACTCATCTACATATTGAATAGGGTTTTCATCTCTATGGAATATAGCTGAAATTGCATGTGCATAGGGTATGCCACATAAATCCTGTCTCCTACAACTACAAGTCATTGATTTTAGATCTACAACAAACTCCCCACCATACATGTGACTAACTTGATACATATTCTCCCCAACCAATCTACGAATGCATTGAGAGGCTCCCATCTTGTACTTCTCAATTATTTTGAATATCCTTGGGTAAACAGGGTGTTTCCATTTTCCACAAGCAGCCCTTCGATTAGCCATCCTAAGCATCACATACATTCTAATACTTTCCAAACATCTCAAAATGGAATTATCTCTGGCATCAATTATAGCTGCATTAAAGCTCTCACAAAGGTTGTTCTACAGAAGATCACACTTATACCTTGGATGAAAGTGAGATCTAGTCCAATTTTTGGGTGGTCTCTGCACCAACCATTTCCAAGCTTCCAAGTCCTCTTCTTTCATCTTCTCCATTTATGCTTCCCACCAAGGAATAGTAGTGGCTTTGGCAGATACCCACAACATGTGTTTAAGAGTGAGACCAAGATGTGTTGCTCTGAAGTTATTGTACAAGTGTCTGACGCACATCCTATGCTCTACAGTTGGTAGTACATGTTCAATGGCAGGTATGAGGCCCTTTTGCTTGTCACTTATGAAAACCCAGGATAAACCATTTGTAATACTTAAATCTTCAATCAACAAAGACAGAAACCAAATCCACCAGTCCTTGTTTTCAATCTCAGCCACAACATATGCAATTGGGAAAAGCCCATTATTACCATCAACTCCTACAGCAGTCAATATTTGTCCAGGATAAGGACCTTTCAAATGGCAAGCATCAACCCCAATAACAGGCCTGCACCCTTCTAAAAACCTTTTTTTACAAGCAGCCAGACACACATAAATCCTTTGAAATATTGCTTCACCCCCAACTAGATCACACTTAATTTTCACTGTACTACCCTTGTTGGTATTCTTCAACTGCTCTGCATAGTCCCACAACCGTGCATATTGTTGTATGTAGTTTCCTTCAATTTGTGCTTTAGCCAATCTCTTTGCCCTATACACTTGAGTTTTGGACACCCTCACATGATAGGACTCCAATACTTCTACTTGAAATGCTTTCAGATTCCAATCTGTGTTTCTCTTAATCTTGCTAGAAAATCTGTCACAAATCCATTTGGGATTAGCAAACTTTAGCTTGTCCACCCTCCCACATGTATGTTCTAAGCTCAACTTCTTAATTGCAAATGTTTGCACATCCTGGTTTATCTGTGAAGCATAAACCACAAATGGACATTTTAATCCTCATTTGCAAATTGCCTTTACTCTCATCTTGTCATTTTTTTCAAAGTACACCCACCTTCCTTGAATAATGGAATATTCCTTCAATGCCTCTTTAAGAACTTGTCTGTTTTCAAATTGCATCTCAAGCCAAAACTCAGGATTCTTTAAGTCCACCTTCCTTCTATACTGCTTAAACCAAGGCAGTTTTTTTTTCCTTCTCACCTTACTTGTCCTTTCCATATCATCCCCATCACCCTCACTTTGAGTATCAAAATCTGAGGTGTGCTCACCATCTAATGACACCTCTCTAGGAGCCTCAAAAGTAGGCTCTTCATTGTTACCATTCCTAGTGGGCTCTGCCCCTTCATGAACAGGTACGTCAACTGTCTTAAACCCAAATTCTTCTTCACTGAACTCGTAATCAATATCAACAAATTCTCCATCATCTTCTTCACTACCTACAACCTCAGCTTCATCTTTATCTTGCACATTAACATTATCTTGCACCTCAGTTTCATCTTCCACTTGAACATTGTGTTACACCTCTGCATAATTGTCTGCACCATCCAAACTACGACACCCAAAAGATGCTTGACTCCAAACTGTATTAGAATTGCCCACTTCAGTATAGTAAAACACAACAATCCTATTACATGGCATTTGGGCCAACATGTCAACCAGTTTAGCATCAGAGCTGATAAGTTCAAGCCCACCTACACCATGCTTTCCACCCTTCCTATACCATATTTCCAAATTTGGTTTGGGGTTGGAAATGTCTACATTGTAACCAAGCCCTTTCCCTACCAGTCTTAAGTCCACCAATGACAGAAAATCATGTATAACAACATCCATGTAACAAACTTTTCCATTTTTATACTCCCCACTTTCCAACACACCCCCATGGTGAAGTTCTAAAGTACACTTTTCATGGTTACCTGCACAGTAAACATGGGTCAAAACAACGCTAAAACACACAAACCTGTTTTGGATTCATAAAATTAGACAAAATCATTTTTTAATTCAATGTTGTGCACCAAAATCAAAATATACAGTACACAGTTCGGTGAGTTTTTTTAATTGCTATAGAATAACTTTAGTCGATTTGGTGCGAGGAATAGAAGACAAGAACCCTAAATGTTGCAGTCAATGACAGTATAAAGCAAAGCCTGTATGGAATCTTAAAAAGCTATGTACCACACAGATGAAAACAAAACCAACTGATATGTATTCAAATAGGCAGAATCACTTAATGTATTTAGGAGCAACACCACCCCAGCGGAAGTCAAACTCTTCCATCACCATCAGCCAAAAGGACTAAAAACTCAACTATCCCCAAAATGAAACCCTAACCCTTAGTTGTACCCCCAATCAACCCCAAATTTTGAAGCTTACACACAAAATTTCTCACTCACTCAACATTGGATCAATCACTACAGCAACAAATTGAATTCCAATGGCTGCCTTAGAAAGCTCAGTTCACTGGTATGGAAGATCGAAACCTGCATAGTCCCTCTCTAAAGCTCTAAATTGTGTTATGTTTCGCTCAAACGACGAAAACTCGAATATACCCCCTCACAACAAGAGCACGTGCCATTCACATGGTCAAACTCGACGGATTCTATTACGGCATGACCTAATTGGAACTTTTTGTCCAGTTAAAGGATGTAATTGCCTCAAAAAAAAAGTTCATGGACCCAATTGCCACTGGAGGCAAAGTTCATGGACGTCTACAGTGGAAAACCCCGAAAACAATATGCCCACACGTATGGAATAATACTTGGAGGGATAGGAACATTAAAAAGAAAACATAAATATAGGCAAATTACCGATAACGAGCACATGTTAACTGTTTAAACACGGTTTGAATTACTACTTATAAAAAAAATTAATTTAAAAACTAATGTAAGACTTTTTTTTTTTTAAAGAGTCAAAATTCATGTACCAAAAATGAAAAGAAAAAAAAAACTCAAAGGTCATTTTTTAAGAGTCAAAATTCATGTTACAATAAGTTACATATATGTTCAACATCATGATCTCATTGTCAAGAAATTTGTTGTTGTTCTTCTTCTTCTAGGGATGAGTTAGTCCACAAGAGTTGATCCACTTGGGCAGAAGACAACAACAAAATAGAATTTTACATAATATTTTGACAATTCTTATTGTGCTATGGTATGTTGGTAACAGGTTTAGAGCCACAGACAATAATATGAAAATGCCCTCTCTATTTCTCAACTTCGAAGTGTGGAAAAGCAACAGCTTTGAGAGGATATTTTTTATGTGCGGTTAAACCAGTGGATTCTGTCATGTCTAAATCCTCCCCACTTGCTTCACCGGGCAATGCCCAATCGAACTTGTGCACGATGTTTGCTAAGGCAATTTCATTAACAGCCATGGCAAACTGAATTCCTGGGCAGGCCCTCCGACCAGCTCCAAAAGGAATGAATTCAAAGTCATTCCCTTTGTAATCTATACCATTATTCAAGAACCTTTCTGGCTCATACTCCTCTGGTTTGTCATACAGCTTGGGATCTCTTCCGATTTGCCATGCGTTGATGAAAACTTGTGTGTTGGCTTTAATGTTGTAGCCATTTACTTCCACATCTCGGGTTGACATCCTGGGAAATAGTAATGGAATTGGTGGATGTAAGCGAAGAGTCTCCTTCGTCACTGCCTTCAAGTAGTGCATTTCAACCAAATCATCCTCTGTAATTACGTCTGTTTTGTTTCCGACTATTCCCCTTACCTCATTCTGCAATTTGTTCATGACCCTTGGATGCCTTAAAAGCTCAGTCATTGTCCACTCTAAGGCAGTATATGTGGTATCAGTGCCAGCAGCAAACATATCCTCAAAAACAATTGATTGGATTAAGATATTTAACCTTTTGCAAAATATATATGCTACTATATGTTACACCTCTTTCACAAAAAACATACACACATGCACATATACTCAGTATAAAAGTTGCTCCTTTTTTGTTTCCCAGATATCGAATTGGTTTGAAAATTGCATATATTTTATTTCCCAGTCCCAGATATCATCAACCCAGTATAAAAGTTAAAAGTTGCACCTTTTTGTTTTAATTTGCCAGATATCAAACGGATTAAATAATTGCTTCTTCTTTTTTCAAAAATGTTTTCCAGGTTTCTAGCTTGTAGAAAATTTGCATCCTTTGCTCCTTCCCTAATATCAAAAGTGTATTATGGTTTGGGTTTCTTATTGTTATCCTCATTGTTTTGATGTTCTCATCGTTGAAGGATTGAAAGAGAAAAATAAAGGTGGGTACTACCAGTGGCGGATCCAGGATTATGTGGCCAAGAGGGTTTAGTGTAAAAGTTCCAAAATTTTTCTACAATGAAGGGTTGGAAGAGCTGTGAAATTGGGACTGAAGGGTTTGGAGAGGTGCTGTGCAGAGTCGGGCTCGGGTAGGTAAGTGATGCTGTTTTTATTTTTTTTTTTTTTTTTTAAACCTGGCCCAAAACGACGTCGTTTTGAGGCCAGGTCAATTAAAAAAAATTTGACTGAGCCTTGGACCAAACAAAGTCGTTTGGCAAGGCAGGTTTTGAAAAAAAATTACCACGCAGCGTGCGCAATGCGCAGCAGCAGAGGAAGAGTTCGGCTGGGAATTTCGTCGAGCAGTTGGTGTGCAGGGGCTTCCAGCAGCAGTCCAAGGGGGCTTTCATGGAGTCCCTTCCCAATTTTTCAGCATTCCAAGGGGGCTTCAGCCCCCTCTTGTCCCAACGTCGATCCGCCTCTGATCATTAGTAAGCCTCACAAACATTTCGCTCAGATTCAAAACAGATGATAATGATGAGTCCTTTATGTTTCTGATCATGGATTTGGTTTCCTCTTCCCTCACAGAACGAAAAGACCGAACCCTTCTGTTGCTCAAAAGATTTAAAACACATATACTTCTCACCTGCCTCCAATACTCACCATACGGCGCGCTTGCGACATCTCTGTAGTTGTAGAGAAGCTTCTCAAAGATGGTGGACTTTGGTCGATCAGAAAACGCGAGGTCATGAGTTTTCAAGATCTCCCGGGCTGCCTCAGCTGAAGAGACAACAAGCACCGGGACACTTCCAAAGTGGAGAAGCATGAGAGGGCCATGGCGTTGGGAAAGGGGAAGCTTCTTAAAGATGGTGGACTTGGGTCGATCAGAAAACGCGAGGTCATGAGTTTTCAAGATCTCCCGGGCTGCCTCAGCTGAAGAGACAACAAGCACCGGGACACTTCCAAAGTGGAGAAGCATGAGAGGGCCATGGCGTTGGGACAGGGCTTGAAGTGAGCGATGAGGGTACGAGCCTATCTGGTGAAGGTTTCCAATGATAGGTAGCTTTGGAGGAGAAGGCGGTTGTGTTGATTTTTGGGTGGTGATTTTAGTCGAAGAGTACCATGAGTATAGGAGGACAAGGAAAATGGCCAGCAGTGTGAAGGCCAAAGGTTGCAAAAAGGAGGAGCTTTCATTTAGCTCTTGCAATACTTGCAAGGGATTTAGCATCTTCAGAGTTGGTACTAAGAAACGAATGTGTTGTGTGTGTTTAAATAAAGGCAAAGATCATCCTAATACTATGCAGAACAGAACCGTCCATGATTCCATAAGAAAACAAAACATATAAAGTTGAACCAAGGTGGTTGGTGTGAGTGGTTCGGCACTCTCATTCCTTAAGAGAGGTCAGGGGTTCGATCCCTACTCTTGTACGGAGTCACCACTTTGGCTAGCACTTTACCCCTGACGGGCCGACCCGGTGTGAACGGGGATTAGTCTGGGTTGTGGTTAAGGCTTAAAGGTGCCACCCATAGTTGGGGCCCATCCAGGACCACCTCGTGGTTCAGACCAAAAAAAAAAAAACATATAAAGTTGAAACCACAGACAAGTATGAGCCAATTAATTTGAGCCACATACAAATTTGTGTGTGAGCATTCTGATGGTCCATTTGTAAGAGGAGAGCCACATAAAAGTTTATGGACGAGTTAGTTTGTTTCAATTTGTTGTCTTCTTCTTCTTCTTTGAGAGCACCTCCACCCGAAAAGGCAAGGGCAAGGCAAAGGTATGGCAAGATTTGACACTATTCACATGAATAGTAGCAGCCTTACCTTTTTTGGTTCCACCCCAAAGGGCAAGGGCAAATACTATTCACTTTACTTTATTTTATATATATTTTTTATACTTAAACTATTAATTTTGATAATCTTTTCAAATAATATTTTCGGTTGCCAAGTGTCACTATTTATTATAAAGTTACATTAAATTGAAAATGCAAGAAAATATAAAAACAAATTAGAAATGCAAGAAAAAAAAAAGTTACATTAAATTGAATAGGCCATTTGTTTTTTGATACAAATGGAAAGTAGGAGAAAAATGAGAGTGAAAAGTAAGGAGAAGAGTTTGTATGAAATTTAGTGTGGAAAGTGAATTAAATTGTTAGGTATTTATAGGGAAAAAAATCCAGAATTTTTTGTTATTTTTTTAAAAAAATTTCGAATGGCGTCGGATTTTTGCAAAAAATTCGATCGGAGTGTCTAAGAAGCTCCACGTGGCATCTTCCCGTTGGGGCTGTAAAAAAAATTTTGATTTTCAACCGCTGATGTCAGCGTTCGTCAGCGACTTGGGGCAAGAGCCCAGTCCAAAATTGCCCTTGGGCTTGCCCGGGCTTCCTTTTGCGCGCTGGAGGTCCAACTCTGGCCTGGGGGGGCCTTGCCTGGGTTAATGTGCTGCGCTGCACTTGCTCTTAGGGATGAGTTAGTCCACACGAATTCACCCACTTGGGCAAAAGACAACAAAAAAATTTAGATGCTTTTGGAAAGCGTAGAGTGTTCGGCTTCTGACTTAAAAGAGTTCCGTGCCTCATTTAAGTTTCTATCTTGTAGATAGGAAAATTCAAGGTAGAAATTTTTTTTCGTGTAGATCCAAAAGACTTTAAAATCAAAATCCAATCTAACATCCAAGTTTAATGGAAAATACATCTTATCTAAGGATGACAGTCCAAATTCCTATAATTTAATTTTTTTTATCAAGGAACAATATAAAGAATCATTTTATATAGGCTAAGCATGACTCAGAATTTCATGATCTTATGCTTCCTTTGGGCTTCTGTTATGAAACTTTGAGGTGACACTGCAGAAAGGCCTTCACAATCATAAAATGGGAAAGGAGGAATTCTCGGAAAACCTTGGCACAGCCATAGCTACGAGAGGAGCTTTTCTGTGGATGACAAGGCCAGTACATTCTGTCATGCTTATATCCTCAGCTCTTGCTCCACCAGGCAATGTCCAGTCAAACTTGTGCACAAGATTTGCTAACACAATCTCATTAGTGATCATGGCAAACAAGGATCCTGGACAGCCCCTTCTTCCAGCTCCAAATGGGATTAATTGGAAGTCATGCCCTTTGAAATCTACAGAAGAGTTCAAAAACCTCTCTGGTTTAAACTCCTCTGGTTCATCCCACATTGAGGGGTCTCTTCCAATTGTCCAAGCATTGATCAGGACCATGGTTCTTGCTGCTATGTCATAGCCCTTTATTTTAGCCTCTTGTGTTGATTCGCGAGGAACCAGTAACGGTATTGGAGGATACAACCGAAGTGTTTCTTTGATCACTGCTTTTAAGTAAGGAAATTTATCTAAATCGCCCTCGGTTATGTCTGCTTTGCCATTAGCAATTCCCATCATCTCATCTTGCAGTTTTTTCAAGACTCTTGGATGCCTTAAAAGTTCGGTCATTGCCCACTCTAGAACTGTGTAGCTAGTATCAGTTCCACCACCAAAAATATCCTGCATAAACCGAGAAAGATCTTAGTTCACCCCAGAAATCAATTAGCAACGGATGGAGAAGTATAAGATTTTATATATTCTGATGTAGGTATCTTAGGCACATAAAGCTATTGAGCTTTCTTGCTTTAGTTGTGGAGACAGAGAAGAGACTTACCAAAATGATACCTTTGATGCTATCCCTATCAATGGAAGAGCCAGCCTTGTTTTGCTTTTGAATTTCAATCAGAACATGCACAAGATCCTTCCTATCTTCACCTTCAACACTCATATTATCACCACAGCTCTCTCCTTTCATTTTAGGAGTACACATATGCTCATCAACTACAGAATCCAGAAACTCATCAAACTCCTTAGCAACTTTCTCCACTCTTGCATCTAAACCATTAATTTGACTAACCCAACCAAGCCATGGAATAAAATCCCCTATATAAAAACCACCCAACATGATCATAAACTCCTCAAGCAACTTCTTAAATTTCCTTGCACCTTCATCTCCACTATACTTTTTCCCAAAAGCCACCCTACAAATCACATCATTAGTTAGTGAAGCAAACAACTCACTCAAATTCACAGGCAATGACAACAGAGAAGACTGTTTCACTTTCTCAGTCAGCAAGGCTAGTTCTTCTTCTCTTACTGCTCGAAAAGACTGAACCCTTTTGTTACTTAAAAGTTGGAGCACGCAGATGCTTCTCATTTGCCTCCAATACTCACCATAAGGAGCTGAGGACATACTCTTAGCTTCATACATAAGTTTATCGGCAATGGTTGATCTGGGTCTGTTAGAGAAGATGATATCATTTGTTTTCATGATCTCACGAGCAGCGTCTGCAGAAGAAACTACGAGCACTGGTTGCATACCAAAACGAAGCACCATGAGTTCACCATAGTGCTGAGCTAGTCTTTGTAGGGATCGATGAGGGTAAGTGCCTAGTTGGTGGAGGTTTCCAAGTATTGGTAGACTTGGTGGTGAAGGAGGCAGGTTTTTGTGTTTTGGTGTATCGGTAAGCCTTTTGATGAGGAAGATTGTGAAGATGAGGAAGGGAAGGGCAATTACAAATAGGTGCAACATAGCTACTGGTTGCTCAGTACCTAAGAACTCAATGTCAAATGTTGATTTGTCTTGTACATTTCTCGTAATGTTAATCATAGCCACATATATAGATGTTTCTAATTAACTTCTTTTGAGCCCTTTCTTTCTCTTATGTTTTTTTTTTAATATCTATTGACAGTAGGGAGAGAATATATTAAGTGAGAATATAATGCCGGTCAGTCTCCTCTGAATATAATGCCGGTTCCCAGTATCACTACTACAATAATGTAAAACAACGACATTAAATACACGACGCAAAATGAAAAAACTGTCGTGGTTTAAAAAATATTACAAACAACGACTGGTGTTATAACAACCGTCGTTGAGCAGTCCTAAAACCTTAGTTGATTTTAATAACACGACGGTTGAAATAAGGGTACCGTCGTCTTTCAAATTCGGAAAGAAGTCACCGTCGTCTTTCCAAGACGCGCTAATAAAAATTTCGCGTAAGTGAATTCGTGGCCATTCGCGAACCTCTCGAGTTCGCGTCTTTTCAGTCTGTCATAAAGCTCCTGATAATTGTGAATCTCCAACCCTAGCCTCCTTCCTTTTGAAATTCGCGGCCCTTCGTGCTCTTCGTCTTGTGGATCTCGTTGAACCTCTCCTTCAATATTGGCTTCGCCACCTTCCCACTCACGATCCGCCTCTCTTGGCTCAAATACTACAACAACCGTTCTGTCAGAGGTAAATTTGGCGACTACTTCGTACAGAGATTTGACGAGCAGCGAGTGATGAATCCAACAAGGTATTTGTGTTTTCAAAGGAATATGAGTATGATTATCTGTGTTGGCTCAGGTCCAATG